CCTAAAATCTGTTGTTTTTAACCGCTACACATGCTTATGTTCTTATGCAGTCCTAATTAATTTATGAAGTCTCCTATGACCTACAAGTCATAAGCTACAAGTGACAATTATGTGACAGCACAGTGCTATAGTGGTCCTCAATGACGGAACACAACAAGATGGTTTTTAGTTTAAACCTACTCTGGGGTTTGTACAGTCTCCCTCTTTCTCTGTGGTTTCTTTCCAGACTCTCCACCTTTCACCCACAAAGACATGCATGTTAGGCTATGGTGTGAATGTGACCATGAATGGGTCTATGTCTTTTTATGTTGGGCCTACAATAGACCTACGACTCTGGGTGTATCCCGCCTCTTGCCCTGTGACAGCTGGGATAGGCTCCAGCTCGCACTCGGATGGATGGATGGGTAATTATAGATTACAAAGCTGATATAAAAAGTGCTTCATTAGAAAGTTGTAAAAAGAATATATTTATTAACTAAAGAGGGAAACAAACAAAAATAAATAAATAACTAATAAAGATATGACTTCTTCTAACAGGAGCTCAACACAAAGAGAGAGGAGAGTGAGTTGAAAATTAGAAGGGATGGGTAAAGCATGTGGAGGCCGGTTAGGGAACTCAGTATCCCATGACCATGGATGGACGACAGATGAGGAAGATGCAAAGGATGGGAAGAGCCATAATACAAGAAAACAAGGTAATCTGTGACAAAGTAGATGCAGAAAGCTCTCTTCTGTCTCTCTCTCTCACACACACACACATGCACAAAGCCACCGAGAGAGAGGTAAATTGGCACTGGAGTTGAGACCTGCTGTCCTCAGTGGCTGTGCGTGGTGCCTAATGAGGCAAAGGGATGTAAAAACAGACAGCCATAATGAGATGGCTGATGGACATGCTGTGGAGAAGGAGAAACACACACAAATGCACGCATGCACACACGCGCACACACACACACACACACACGTAGACACACAGAGAGACGGAAAGAGAGAGAGACAAGGAACAAAACTGTAGACACATCCAGCGAGCGAAAGCTATGTGAAAGAGTTAAGGAATGCTATGAATAGAGACAGTGAGGCAGACGGAAAGAAGACCAGAAGCTGAGCGTAGAGGGGAGAAGCAGCAAAGGTTTAAGGGAAGAAAAGAGGAAAAGCTTGGAAAGCATTTTTACGTAGAGTTGTGTGAGAAGATTTTTTTTATCTTTTTAAGGGAAAAAAAGAAGGAGAATCCATGAGTGAGCTAATGCTTTTCCTTTTTTTTTTTTTTTTTTTTTACATATGGAGAGTAAAGTTGGAAATTCCAGCATCTTGTTCGGAAAAATCCAGCGGCCTCATTCTTGAAGTCTGACTAGCAACTTGTTATCCACAAACTGTCTGGAATTTATTTACTTCATCACGTCAAAGCACAAGCATGTCTGCTACCTAAAGCAGTAAGAGCTTTACAACATGTTCTGAAACCTCAAAATAAAGTCATGTTTGGCTTTCACTGTTGCATTTATGTCATCTGGGACATCTGTTAGCTGCCAGCAGTCTGAAGTAACTTTCCAATGGAGGGAAATGTTATTATGGTAACATCAGCAGCTTTCAGTGCAAGAAGTATTTTGCATGAAGAAAATCACACGTTGAAAGCATCGGTGGTGAGTGAAAATAATGCAGGCTGTAATTAATCTGAGAAACTGACTGCAAATTTTTGACCTTTAAGTGGGAATGGAGACAGAGCGTTGCTTATAGGCAAGTAGGTAATACTTGGTGATTTGATCATAGGGGACTGAGCACTACTAAAAGTGCTGGATGTGTATTTTGTGAATTCACCTACCAGCAAAAATTGGCTTTCACTAGTAAAGTAGCAAGACCCCCAACAGAGTGTAGCCCGGCTAGAAAAATAGTAAAAACTTGTAAAAACATGTTTGATGTTCTAATAATTCAAATAAATGTTTTTGGTTAACTGAGAGATACATGAATTAGATAACCTGTGTTGTTTTTCTATGAGTCCCTACTGCTGCCCCGCTGCAGTTACCACTGTGTTCATGTTACAGCATCAGAAATACATAAGTAACTAAGGTTTATATAGAGAGAGAGCTTTTCCAGAACAAAAGTCACAAAGTGCTTTACAATACTGAACAAGATACAACAATTAAAAGGGTTTAAAATGATAGAACTAAATAAAGGCAAGTCTGCACAAGTGGATCTTAAGTTTCTTTTTAAAGGTATCAAAAGTGTCCACAGATCTTAGGTCCAATGGAAGCAGCTTGATGGCTGGAATCTTACAGTCGCCTTTTGTTTTAAACCTAGATCTAGGTACAGCCAACAAGGACTGATCAGAAAACCTCAGAGATCTAGACGTTACGTATTGATGTATTACCTTATCTATATATTGAAGCACCTGACTGTGGAAGGATGTGAAATTGATCACCAAAAGTTTCAATTGAACCCTAAACTTTATGGCAGTAAGGAAGACAGAATGAGTATTATATGGAACTTTTAGGGGATCTGGTGATAAGCCTCATAGCAGCATTAGGGTTCAGTTGTAAGCAATCCAGGGATGATTTGCTCAAGAAAAGATACAATGAATAATAATAATAAAGTCTTGACGAAATAAATGCATGTATAACTATCTATCTCTATTTCACATTAAATTACAATATATTTAAAATGGGCATTGCTCTGCAGATCATTAAAAACAAGCCAACATGCTTTTCAAAGCTGAACATCATTCTTAGATATCTGCGCCATTTGTGTGAGTCGAGCACATGTGTTGAGGCTAAAAGTGATTGTGCT